ATGATGGCGCAAAACCTGGAGATGTTTTTGGGGCACCTTTTTCTGAGCACATGACGTTGATTCGCGTGGGTCAGAAGTCTCGCTCAGTATTTAGTGCATGGTGATGACTTTGCTCTAAGTTCAGGTCATTTCCCGGGAGAGGGATGGGAAATATGTGAACAGACATATTTCTGCACATATATAATTAGATGATCTTATATTATCACAGACAGCAGCTTCGTATTGTGAGGCCGTTTTCGGCAATCCTAAGATGGGTGGTTCTGTGCTATATGTACAAGCGAGTTTGTACACGGAGCAGAATTAGGCCGTGATCGAATTGCATTTGTGTTCTGTGAAAAGGAGAGTCAGTTGGCAAAAAAGGAAAACAAAAGCATGAAGAGTAGTTTAAAATGTAATTCACACATACAGACAGCAGTTATATAGCTTCATGGAGAGTCCGTGATTCAGGGATTCCCAATCCTGATCATGGACGCCTACACACCTGCTGGTTTTCTTCCAATTAATTACCTCGTTGAAGCCTTAATTGAACTAATAGGTTGCTTAATTGGATTATCTGCAGTTTTTTTTTTCTACTCAGAAGCATGGGGTTTTACTTGCTGAATGAATGCAGTAGTTGGGAGGGAGCCTCCTACACGTTACAGGAGCGGAAAACACCCCAGACACCGCGGCTCGTCCCGTTCGCGGGCGGACGGAGGGCGGAGGTGTGAAGCGCGCGCGCGCCCGGCTCTGGGAGAGGCTGACCCCCCCGCTGCAGTCCCCGAAGGGCGGAGGCTGCGCTGTGGACGGTCACGGCCCCTGCCCTCGAGACCCCCGACGACCCCCGGGGACGCGAGGACGAGCTGCGCGTGAGATCGGCGCGGGCGGACGGCGCGCACGTGGCGCGCGGCGGGCGTTTCCACCCGGTCCGCTTCCTTCGGCCGCAGGGGACCCGGGGGAGTCTCCGAGCGGGACCGCTCCGTTGCTCAGGACGCTTTGAAACCAGAACAGCTTCGTTCTGCGTGCAGGTTAGACGAGGTTTTGCTACAGGAAGCATTGCGCCCAGTAGAGTGTTTTCCCCCTTTATTCGAGGAATGATAAAATCATTAGAAACGTTGGCTCGAGCAGTAATTGAGGCTATATTTTTAAAGCGGAGCGTGACAGCGAAGGTGTACGCTGGGAATTGAAGTTCTGGATCCCGACTCAAACACTAATTTCGTTTAATTAGACTGTAGCCACGTTCGGCGCTCTTGAGATTTCAAGACGGGAGAACAGTCAAGACACTTGTGTTCCGCGCGCCTCTGTCTATGAACCTGGCTCATGAAAGGCTTTTCTAAATTAAAATTGCATTGATGTGTCAGTGCTCATCTACAGTGTGAAAGCCTTGAGTCGCTGGGAGATTGATTTGAAATCAGCTGCTTTAATCCTGGCGCTACCCTGGGGGCCTCTGGATTTTTGGATACCTTCCAGATGTGGGAAGCGTTTGGGGTGGAATTGAATCTGATAGGATTTCTCCTGATCTTACTGACACCAAAACTGAAATCGACGGGATCTTTTCCTAAAGACAGATAATAGCGTCGCAACTCGGGAACGCCTGTCGCAGACCCAACTCGCGCGGTTTATTCCCCTTTGGCATTGACGTTTAAAAGCCAGATTTGCTGCATGTTGATGAGAGGTGTTAGGCTGCAGTTGTGCTACATCATTACACGGCTTCTTCCGATAGCAGCTGTGTCTCCCGCCGAGAGCCGCCCCTGCCTCCCCTGGGAGGGGTTGGATAAGTAGGGGGGCCCTCCAGGGGGCCGTCGCTCCTGCCCCACCGCTCAGATCATCACAACTGCGCGCCTTGACCTTTCAGAGGAAGCTGCGTGTTCGCAGCGGGGCAGCAGCGATATCCCCCCGCGCACGCGCCTGGGCGGCGGTACAGCCCGGGCCGGGGAAGTCCCGTTTTGGCACCTGCCATGCGCGGTGCTGGCGCGTTCCATCTCTCCTGTTCCGCGCGGGTCCTGCTCTCTCCCTCTCTGTTCCCGCACCTTGCAGATTACCCTCGGGGGTCCGGCGCCTGTTCACCTGTGGAGAGCAGCCCCTGGGGGTCTGCGAGCTGACGGCGCAGTCAGGCACTCTCCCTTGATGTGCTGCAGGAAGGCGCAGCCCTCCAGCTTAGCGGGGAAGAAAGAGCCACTTGTCAGGGTGGCGCCCCTCCGTAAACTCGCTTTGCTTAGAGAAACGGCGTTTTACCATCGACGCCCGGTCGCCGGTATCTGCGCGGCCCGCGGCTCATTTTCCTTTCCTCCGTCCTCTCTTTAACGCGTTGCCACAGAGCGCTACTTGGGAATGAGGGACTCTGAGCTGCGCTGTCAGTCCGGTTCCCTGAGCACTTTCTCTTTCACGTGGCCTCCCGGGACGCAGAAAGGCACCAGGGACAGCGAGGCGACAAAGATTGAAATGAGATGTGTGCTTTATGTGGACACCTCTTCCTTGTGTCAGTGTTAATTCTAGAATTGTTCCTCTCGAGGAATGTCTTTTCCATAGGGCCACATAGCTAGTGGGCTCCGTTATTCTTCCAGTGTTGATGCCCGCTGGTAGGCCTTTCTGTTTGACATTCGGATCAAGGCTGCTTCTCACCGCACTCGCTGAAGCAGCAGAAAAACACCGGCCTCTACTGTTCAACACTCGTCTCTCGCCGGATCCGGCTGGCAACCCCTAATTCCTCCCATTTCGGCTGATTTGTTGCGAAATACTTAAAATAATTTGGTTTCCCTTTTTGGGTCAAGCAGCTTTAGAGGGAAATTGGTAGTGTGCAGCTAGGCAAAATATCGAGTCTGCAAGCCTTCAATTTGCACTGAACGACACTCCCACCCTGTAGCTTAGGTAGCGTGTCATGCAAGTGTTCTATTTTAAAAAGCTATACTGTAATTTAAGAACAGGAAGGTTCAGTGCCCCACTGAACTCTGTGTAAGGCTGAAAAGACAGGGAGAAGAGGCTTAAAGCCATCAAGATGTAGCTAAGCTTTCTCTGGAGTTCGTTAAACCCTCCTGTGGTTAATCAGTTCAGAACTGACCAGGGGAGTTCCAGGGGAATAAAAGAAAAGGCTCGTCTGTGGGTGAGTTGCACCTTTAAGAAGTTCTGTCACAGGGCAGAAATCTCCAAGCCCACAGACAGCCTCAGTCATCCAGACTTAGATTCAGCCTGAATATGGGTGGATATTTGCAGTTCGTTAACATCCATTGTCTGTGTTTTAGCTCTTAACCCCTTTTTTGTCCTGATATTGAGATGGTATAGAGAAAAATGAAACACTGCTATTGATTGTCTTTAAATGCATAATGTGATGCGATGGCAGCTATGAAATCGAACTAGACTTCACTACCTGCCGCTGCGTTTTAATGAAGTAGAGATTTTGTTTTCACTTTTGTGTGTATGTGGCAGAGGTACATGAAAATGCTCATTTTGGCAAAGAAAATATTTTAGTGCTTAACAAAATAACTCTGGAAAAGTGTGCCTCCTTCCTTCAGGTAAATAAAATAGCTGAACCGTCTAAATGTGCCTGTTGTATGATTTGGTCTTCATCGAGACTTTTGTCTGGTACACTGAACTCTCGGCTCTGGCCGGGATCCAAGTGGAATAATGTGGAAACACTTTTCCTAACTCATCACGGGTAAATTCTCGTGCAGTGTGACAGAAAATTTCATTCACTGAGCTGACCTGAAGCCGGTGTGAACATAACCTTGGACCTATTTTTCTTCCTAGAAACGAAAGATGCTTGTGCCAGATCACACTGGGACACTCTCCTTTTTTGGAGGTGGATTCCTAGCATTATAGTGTGACATTTGATCTTCTATCTCTGCTTTTCAAAAAAAATACTAGCAATGGCTCGTTTCCTCCATTTTCTTCAGTAGAAGAAGCGGGCCTAGTCCTAATTCCTGATTTTACATGTAGTTGTGTGAACGTCTGAGGGAACAGTGATGCCGTTTAAGGTCAAAGGTCAGCCTTCACAGGCTCACACAGAGATTCGTTTGAGATGAATGTATACCCCTCCTCCCCATGCAGGAATGGTTTGGGAATTTTCTACCGGAAAAATATAGTTAATGTAATTTCTCGTTTCCTCGAGACCCCATACTGGACAAAGCAGTTTGAAAAATGGATGGCTGGAATTTCTTATGGATGTTAATGAAACTTTAGTCTCCAAGGTTTTGGCAATGTTAGGGTTTTTGGCTCATATAGGTTCTAAATATGCATGCAGCCTAGGATGAAAGTGAATAGTGAATGTTATCCAGGTACAAATTAAAATATTTTTGTTTAAGGATTAAATA